GCCTACCCCTGTTCTAGTGTGTGTGTGCATGGTTTATTGGTTGTTTGCTCATTGTGTTAGACTTTAATTGGAGTTTGGTCCATTTCAGTGTCATTCCTTGCCAGAATTCTTACGTCTGTGGTATACAGCTGGAAAGGTCCTGGAAGTGAAGTTGGGTGCTTCATTTTCGCACATTTGAGCTAATGATAAATTCCCCAAAATTAGGCTTGTTTCCCAACAGAATACAGCCCAAAATTGCATTGGCCTTTTTAGCCGTGGCATCACACTATTGACTCATGTTCAACTTGTGGTCTACTAGGACTCCTAGATCCCTTTCACATGTAGTCTTGTTAAGGCAGGTGTCCCCCATCTTATATCTATGCATTTTATTTTTCTGTCCTAAGTGCAGTACCTTACATTTCTCCATGTTGAATTTCATTTTGTTAGCTTTGGCCCAGCTTTCTAATCTTTTAAGGTCATTCTGAATTTCATCCTGTCTTCAGGGGTATTAGCTATTCCTCCTAATTTGGTGTCATCTGCAAATTTGAGAAGCATGCCCCCTATTCCTTCATCCAAATCGTTGATGAAGATATTGAATAGCCCTGGGCCCAGAACAGAACCCCACTGGACACCCCACTGGTCACTTCTCTCCAGGATGAAGAAGGGGAGCCATTGCTGAGCACCCTTTGGGTTTGGTCACTCAACCAGTTAGTATCCACCTAACAGTTGTATTGTCTAGCCCACATTTTACTATCTTGTTTGCAAGAATATTGTGGGGGACCTTTTCAAAAGCCTTACTGAAATCAAGATACGCTATGTCTACTGCCATTTCCTTCATCTAGTAAGCTGGTAATTTTATCAAAAAAAAGAGATCAGATTAGTCTGGCATGACTTGTTTTTGAGAAACCCATGTTGACTTTTAATGATTATGACATTCCCTTCTAAATGTTCACAGACTCTCTGTTTAATGAACTGTTCAACAATCTTTCCCAGTATTGTGTCCAAAGGAGGGTGACCAAAATGGTGAAACATGTGGAAACCATGTCGTATGAGGAGAGACTTAAGGAGCTGGGTATATTTAGCCTGGAGACGAGAAGCTTAAGAGGTGATATGATAACCCTGTTTTTGAAGGGGTTCCTTTGCAGAACCTTTCCCCTGCACTGAGGGCAGGTGGTCTTTGCTCTGCTTGAGTCCTCCCAACACTCGATCAAGCAAGCTTTGCAGAAATTGTGCCCACACTCTGTGGTCACTGGATCCTTGAAATAGTCCAGGCAAATAGGACAAGTGGCTTCCTCGGAGAGATCCTTGATGGGATTCCTGCCAGCAACATCAGCAGCCGCAGCAGCCATGTCTGTCTTCCATAGAGCAGTTACTTTCATTTACTTTGTACTCCTTGACAGAGCATTTCCTTTTCAGTAAGTGACTTATTCAGAACAATGGAATGCTGACATGCCTGGGACAAAGATGGAACAAGTTGGAGGAACAGTTCGTGGATAAAAGAACTTTCATTTTTAAAATTAAGGCCAGCAATTTAGGAACAGTGTGGCAGCTTTTTTAATTTTTATTTATTTAAGGCATTGGTCTATTGCCTCTCAATCTGCCAGGGCCTCCAAGGACATGTGCAATGATAACCATCATATATTCTATTTAAGCATATTTGAATCCTGGCTCTAAAGTCCCCCAAGAACCAATATGTGACACATAACATTCTAACCCAGACTTGCCAGATCTCAGGGCCTGGTTCTGAGTCTCCAGTTTTCACAGGTCATCTCCAAGCAGGAGAAAATTCTCCAATTTTGGAGGGCTCATCTCTAAGCACAAGGAAGCTCAGCTCAGCTACTACAGCTGAATTTTGCTACAATTTGCAAGGCCTATTGTATTTGCTGCTGCAACTTGAAAAGGAAGGTGGGCTGCATCTTATCACCACCCTTGCTAGCTTTAAAAAAGCAGTAAAGACGGATCTCTTCCAGCAGGCCTTCCCGGAATAATCTCCCAGCTCAGCTGGAGAGGGTCATTATCCGTCCCCCTTTTCCTACCACTGCCTGCTTGCCTTTGATGTTTTTATTCTTGTTATT